TGATCATCTTGGGAAGTCAAATTCTCAATACTTGCTTCCATAGTGCATCACTTGTTATCTGACCGCTTGCTGAGTTGAAAATAACCAATTTTTAGCGAGTTTTCCTTTTCTAGGGCTTCGGCTTATGTCTTTAGGTTGAGGTATTTTTTATTGAGAATTTGACTTATTTTTCTATTCTTAAGATAAAGGGAACAAATCAAAAACTGCAAACAGAGCCGCATTCCGAAAGGAAATCTACTGCGTCGCTATTGTTTCTCGTTTCTTAACAAAGAAAAGTATGCATAATGAGTAACGAGAAATCCTGCTCAAACATGCTTTAAAACTACCTTCGCCAAATCAGAAAAAACGCTTTCAGAGCGAAGACCAGGATTTCTTGAAGTGAATTAATTTTGAAAGAATATAAGACCTCAACAAAGTTTTCTTTCTCATTTAGTAACTTATTTCAAAGTCAATCTTAGTCAAAATACATTTGCATAAATTTTTCCGCAATTCAACACGTGGAGTCTACTGTTCGATAGCTGAACAGAGCTAAGTCGAATGAACTCCGGATGGGAAACCCGTTTAATCTGTGATGTTCCACACAACTAACAGTCCCTCCTGAGTTCAAGACATCACGCTAGCAACAAATCAGAACACGTTGTGATGTAATAATTTAATCAAAACAGTGTTGACAATCATCACTTACCTATTCCCAGGGTCGGCCATTATCTTCCTGCGCAAGACGGCTGAAAGTCCTTACGGATTATGTGCTGGAATGGAGTTCTACAAAATAGCAGCTGTAACTAAGAATCGATTGGCTTCTAGTTTTCCTTCCTCAACCTGTCTACAATGAGTGATTACAAAAATTAACGCACACACGTAGCAGATCAAGGTTGAAGTGCACAAACATCTTGACGGTGATTGGTCAATTTGTAGCAAGCCTCACTTCGCAAGTGAATTATTCACATGCTAGAGATAAACATTCTTTCACCGCTGCTTTTTTTTTTTTTACATTGATTACCTGAAAATCTCAAAAATACCTCTAGACACGTAAACAGCCGCACATAACTGGTAAATTTTTATTCCTTCCATATTGTTATCCTGTCTAATTTAACACGCAAAAAAATTTTCAGGTCCATAATAAAAAAAAAAGGTAAGAGAGGATCACCTTGGAGAACCCTATGCTCTGTACAAAGGAGAGTTTGTAACTGAAACCGTTATTCATAACATAACTTGATATATCTCTATAAAAGGTTCTTATCCACTGCTTGAAATACGATCTAAAGTTAAATTTTTCCGAAACTTTAAATAGAAAAATCATGGGCAACAGAATCATTTGCTTTTTCAAATTTGATAACAACCAGGATCCCAGAGCTATTTTTCATTCCCAAACTATCCCCGATGGTCCACACTGCATCAAACACAGATCTTCATCTCACAAATCCATTTTGGTTGTAATGAATAATTTCGGTGAGAAAAAGTTCGAGCCCCTTAGTAAGGCTTCTGAAACTATTCTCAAATCGACATTTGTTAGTGAGATACAGCGGCAATTTTGGATCAAACGATTACTCTAATCTTGTTTCTCAAAATAATCACTAATACTCGTCTCTGAGAAGAACAGAGTTGATCATGAACATGGGAGAAGTGTAAAGAGTCTATGAAATGATTTTCCAAAAAGATTTCCAAACGGTAATTAAAATTCGGCAGTTGGGCCATCATTTCCTGATGTTTTGTTTTGCATGAACGATTCAATTCGATTGAATTTTTTAGATAAACACTGTTTGCCATTGTTCGCTCCATTATGAAAGTTATTCATAGAATCAACCAAAGTAAGTGAATTTTCCTTGTACAGTTTAGAATAGAAGTTTTCGACTTCCGTCAGTATTTCCGTTGGTTTTGTTCTCCGACTATTTTCATTAACGAATATATTCTTAATGCAGATCTTTTCCTTTTTGTTATTTTTTAGGTTGAAAAAATATTTATTCCCCGCGAAACCGTAGTCTTAGAAAATAGCCAAGGTAATCACGTTTTTTTCGGTAGTGCGCACAAGTAGTCAGTACAGCTGTCATAACACAGTTAAAAAATGGATATTTCTTCGTCGGACCAGCAAGATTTTCATGATATGAATATTTGATTTGAATTGGGCTAAAACTTGTGAAAGAAGGCGCGGTGAGAACAGGGCAAAGTCAAATAAGAGCAAATAAGATATTTTTGGAATATTGGCCTTATTTTTTCTCAGTGACGCTGCACGTGGGTAAATTGTTGAATTTTGGAAGGTTTCTTGGCATAGAAGAGGAATCGGTATCTTTCTGTTTTCAACATTTCCTTAGCATACGCGGAAGATTGTGATCCATTGAAGGTAGTGAAATCTCCAATGTTGTGGGATAACGTGGGGTCTTTCCTCCGAGTCTTACACAACATGCCTGATCGCGAAGAATATTTTTGCCAAGAGCAAAGGATTTTTAAAAAGCATTTGGGAGCAAACTCTTGCTAGTCGTCGCGAACTCGTCGGGGAGGAGGTAAACTTGCAATGTGGGGGACTAGGAACCAGTTATCATCTTCCAGGGTAAACGGAAGGGCTCCCAGATGATTTTGCTAATAATCTGCTCATAGGTCTTCTACGCGTCTGTCCTCCAATAGATCGTAGGCGAGAACCAATCTGAATGTGTGAACAGTTCATCCTCTCACAAAATTACTCTTTGCAAATACTAAGGAACCCCTCATCTTTTACAAAGCTAAATATTTTTCAAGTTCGAAAACAAAGTTGAACTAGGTATCCACATAATACTTTCGTGAATAATTCAATGAAACTGCCGAATACCGGTATATCTCGCGGCCTTTTCTGGGATGTCACGCAACGTGCATCAGTTGCATGACGTCGCAAAAACGTCTACAAAGGGAACAAGTATCTGATACGCAAAAGTATAAATCTAGACATGCTGGATATGACTGTGGAACAAAAGTATGAGCAATTAAGCTATTTTATATATGCTGCTACAAAACGAAGAGAGTAATTGTCGCAATTTGCTCCTAATTCTTTTCTCCATTTGCCAAGAAAAAATACGAACAACAACGGCCAGTCCAAACTATTTTTACTTTCTGGCTACCTTCCATATTAAAATATTCATAGAAGCTAACTAAATGTTGCTGAGTCAGACTTAGCGAAAGAAGATCTCTTCAAATTAGATATTTATAATTGCTTACAAAATTATTTATGTTTTTTGGAAATTTGAAACTCACTAGTGATCGTTGCTTGATATAACGTACACATGACATTATTGAAAGTCTTTTCAATAAAATTGCATGGGTTTGCATTTCCCTGTTGTTTAACAACTCATTCCTAATTTACCAGCATCTTTAGTTTCACCTGCGAAAATAAGTTGTCAATCATACTCTTCAAACAACCCTTTCTTCAAAAATATCCTGGTCAGTCAAGACTTTTATTTTCAAGGGAGTTTGTACGCCATCAAAGAGTTACTATGCGATACAATTCTTTACTGAACCATTCATTCTGGCAACTTTCCACTTACGTCAGACGTTAGCTTCAGGCTAAACCTAGTCAAAAAGACAAGATTGATGAGTTTAACACATTTTACAAGGTTTACTATTGCAAATTATGAAGACCAACACTTCTCCACGAAAAAAAACCTATTTAAGCCCATTTATTCCAAGAAATATCAGGTAAGAGAGAAAAACAACGTAGAACCTTTAATTCCCATAGATGACCAAGAGATAATTTCTCCTTACAGCATCAATACAATTCATTCAAAAGTGTACATGCGCTCTTTCTTTTTGCTTTTATTTTCTAATTGACACGTATCAGACTGTGACAGATACACCGAAGTCCGTTACGGGGATAAAAAAGAAAACAATGAGAAAAAAAAATAATAAAGATGTCAGCGCACTGCATCTCACTCCCAGAGTTCTGCGGCTGATTTTTTCTACGACTGGTATAACGGACCTCACCAACTGTAGTCTACGTAAATACCCCCTATATGATCTTATGCGCCGATCAATTCGAAATTTCCCGGGTTCATTGCAGTGCATACTTGAGGATCATTTTATTCACCGGGATCACATATGCATCAGTTGCACAGATGTATATTTCTCTCCTTGCGTGTGACTCGCCCTTCGTGCCCGCCTCGCGCTTACATTCGATAAAAATATTAGTCTAGAATTAGATTTTAAAAATTTTAAATTTTAAAAAATCTCTTCTGCTGCTTTCTTCATTCGAGACTAGAGGAATTTTAAGAAAGGTACAGGGATTCACACAAATTTAGATTGCACCCAAGCTGAATAAATGTTCTCGAACAACTACTGAGGAGATGAAAATCTTCTTTGTTTTCCTCCGTCCAGCCTCTTAGTATCTTCTTCTTGTTCTTCTTTATCCTTTACTTCCTTCAAACGCAGTACTAAATCTTTCACTTCTGACATTAACATCCTCCTTTGCTTGTCAAGTTGATCCTGAAAATCACGTCGCAGATCTCCAATTTCCTTCTGAAGGTCTTCATTTGTCACTCTACTAAACTGGTCTCTATCGGGATGGCACATCTAAAACGTGCAAAAGTCAAACGTCTCCAATTAAAAAATAAAAAAGACGAAATTTTAGGACAGCGATGATCAAAAGTTGTCAACTATAGGCTCTAATTTTCACAATTGTGGAATACAGATATGCTGCAGAGATCATTCAGAGCATTCAGGGCACAGCCTTTTGGTAAAAAGGTTGATAGTTTGTAAATGTTCGCAAACATTTAAATTACTCAAACTTGAACAAAATTTTAGTGGTCTTTTCAACACTGGATACGACAAAGTTCTTCCTCGCCACATGCTTCTAATTTGGTCTCATGATCAATCCCCTGACTGTAACAGGAGGAGTGTGCCGAGGCGTGATATGTTAGCATGAAACCAAACCATTTATAGATTCAATTTCTAGCCCATTACCCTCTCCCTCACCCTCCCTGCTCCCCCCTCCCCCTCCCTGCTCCCCCCCCCCCTCCCGCTCCCCTCCCCCTCCCCTCCTTCTTTCGAACATACCTTGGTGAGCACTGTAATGCCTTCAGATCCCAATGAAACGAAAGGAAATAGTATATTTCCTCTGCATACCCCACTGAAGAACGCACTACTTCTCTACCGTTCAAGGAGAACAACACAGAGACTTTGCCCTCGAGGACTCCACTAAAATCAACTTCACATGCGATGAGATCACCGCGGTAAGCCATAGCTCCTAAGTTATCAACAGAAAACATTAAGTACTTGAGGCAACCAACCGTGTAACACTAGGATGTGAAATTGGACTTTTTCCTTTTTGTTCGGTCTTGATCAATGACCTACCTCCTCGTTCATTCGAAGACAAAGTTTAATCTCCCTCAATGTATTTATACAAGAAGTGTTGACGATATAAATGATCCTAGCAGCGTCAAGCATTTGTTGATATGAATCTCGTTTTTCTTTGGCCTTAAATGAGTTCTCTGTAGACCATTTGATCGGCAAGCAGAAGGTGAGGGTTGGAACCCCCCACAATCGAAGGATTCAGGGTTTTTTCAGTTTTCACACTCAAGGCACATGGATTTTACAGCAACTACGTTCAACATTCTATCTTGGTCATACAGCTACAATACATTTCCCATTTATCTCATGCACGTCAGAATAATCATCTCGAGGAGTCTATAACGATTTTAAAGTGATCCCTACAACGTTTACAAACGAAAATTTCTGAATCTTTTTCTTTTGGAAAACAGAAACCTACTGTCGTAAGGTCGCCCTCAGAAGGACGGTAAGACTTTGATTATGTTTCCAAGCGCCAACAGAGCCTTGTGGCAGATATCGTACACCTATCGTCAGAGTAACCCATACCTTCGACTTCTCTTCCCAGCTCATGGAAGCCGGTTTCAAATATTTTACCATCGTCTACGTGGTAACCGACTGTTCCACTATCCCAGCCAGGCATTTTGTGACAGTCGTACGACTCATGCACAGCACCCAGTGCCGCAATACGTCTCTCTCCAGTCTCCTGAATAAGTACCTGCAAAACAATGATGGACTCTTTTTTTTAGACTTTGTTGTTACGGTTGCCATAAGTCCCATGTTTTTAATTTTTGTTTTAGTTTGCAAATGAGTTTTTTGCTCATGAGACCGAGGGAATACTAGTTTTTTAGACCAAAGCAAAATAATAACGATGATAAAGACGATGTTAGTGATAATATAAACAACCAACATCCGAAATAATGATCATATAAACAACAAAAGCAGCCATAATAACAACTGCAATAATGATGATGATTACAAAGCAATAATAATAACGACAATAATAATATAAATATAAACGATTAATCCAAAAAGGAATTTCGGCTGAACGAAGGCACCATCACGCTATTCAAAGGTGGCCATCTAAGGCCTTATAACTTGACCCTGAAATGCACCTCAACGAAGTGGAGCAAGGAGATAAATTTAACCTTTCATACCCTCACATCATTATGAATATTCTCCATGCTGTTCTCTATACAATTGTGCTGATAAGGAAGAATTATTTAAACAATGAAGAGCTTTTTCGGTTGGTGGTCATTTACTTTATCCATGTGACCCAATGTTCAACTCAGGGATGATAATGTGAGGAAAAATTACATCATAGTCACTCTTAGGTGTTACAGGGTTAGGTGCCCAAACGAGATCCATGTTGACACGTTACCATGAAAGCAAAGGTGAAAATAGGATACCACAAGAGGAACATAAAGATGTTTTTCAGGAACCGGTCTGGTCTTTCTATCATGGAGGCACCGTTAAGTTCATTCTTAAAAACATTAGTATCTGTAGTGCTACAAATTAGAAAAGAATACCAGCGCCAACAAGAGGGAGGTTATTTAAGAGAAGAGGGTAAAAAGGCAATGTAATTATGTTGCATCTGTAGAGAATCTATCATGAAGCAGGAAGTATATGAATTAAATTTTTGTTTGCAAATAATTTTCTATAAATCAAAAGCACACCTCGAATCTTGGTGTCTCTGGTGTAAAGGGAGACTTGAACTTGGCACTGTGAATGTTCTTACGATTTCCACTTTTGCATCTGTTGCAGAAATTAGGTCCCATGTAAGTTAGAGACAGCCATCGACAGCAATTCCCGGCGAATCATACCACGCCTTAAAATGACAATCAAACAAAACTTCAGTAACACGAGGGACCCCTTCAGGCGGCTGGTATGTCACCTGAAAATGTCTGCGGCTGAGACATTGTCCAAAATGAATATTTGGCCAAGAACCAAAGCTTCAAGGAGAAATTTGAAAACTTAAAGACAATCTCTCAACCAGGGACATTGTCAGCCGACATACCAGCAAGCTATAAGGGTTTTATTCAAGCTATAACCCTCCCATTAATTTTCGTATCGCGCGTCGAGAGCAAATTTTGTTGATTTTTTTGTACTTCCCGGAGAAGCATTTGGGATCAGCTTTTCTATGTCACTACAAAACAAGCTCGGTTTTTTTTTTCAAGGGAACAAGGAAACTACAGCAGAACGTTTCTTGAAAGATTTTTCTCAATCGTACATTTAAATTTTTGTGCGAGGGAAAAGGTTAAAATGCAAATTAAAATGGTTAAAAAGTGTATCCTGATGGAGCAAGATCCATAGTATATGGTAGGGAAACTTCCTGTTTAATTAACATGTGAATGTGAACCTCAAAAACACTCACTCTGTGGCCAGACGCAAGTTTCTCCTCCTTGTTTCCACGCGGTCGGAATACTTGCCGAACTATCTGATTGGCCAATTTTCGTCCTCCCTCATTTTCTTGCACCAAGTGATCTATCTTTTTCCCTCTAAAACAAAGCGAGGAACCAAATATTAAATTGGCCTCTTCTGAATCTAGTCAGCAAAATCATTACGATACGCCTGGTTAAAAAATAGATTATCATTATTGGAATTCTTAATTTGTGATACTTCATTTCTTGTCCGTCATGGTAGAAACTTCTTTAGAACTATCGCTTTGATAATAACAAAGCAAAGTTTAATAGAACAACATCTCTTTGCGCAATATTCTTTTGTATGACCATATCATATATTTCTGGGGCTGTCTACTAATCTAGCACATCACCCACCTGTGAGGGGAAATTCATAACCATATTTCTCGAAGTACCTCCTTTCTAGTTTCTCCACCACTTTATTCAGAGCTACTCTCTGTCGAATCAAAAAAGGCCACATCGAAATTGAAGTAAAATCACTGAGCAGACGTAAATGATAACTTTAAACAACAGCAGCTTGTTAAAACTCACAAAACTAATTGGCAAGGCCGCAGCTTACCCGTCCCTCGAGCGAAGCAGGAGTGTCGCACCATGTTTTACACGAACACTTCCGATAGAGGTTCCATAGTACTATCAGGGGGACAGACAAAAGGTTGAAGGGCACTGGTATCGGATGATAGGTGCTGTAAGTTCTTACAGTAATGGCTCTCTTGATAGACCACTCCTGCAGTGAATTATCCTGATAATAGAGGAATGAGAGGGACTTAACAGCTTCTAAGGAAGTACCAGTTAATAAAGACAACAGGCGACACTCCTATAGCGGAAGAATATTTTGGACATATCATACCAGAGGGACAATATTCGCCATCATTTTCGTCTAAAGCCTCAGTCGGCCAAAAGTATAATTATAAATGATCATAGAATCTTTTGTATCTTACGTCAAAAAAGTCCTGCCGAGCTTACAGTCGAGAACTTCTCATATTTTCTTAACTCTGGATTATGAACAGAATTAATATACATCGCCGAAGGCAGAGAGACTGTTTAGTACCTGAACCTGCTGATATGTGTTGGAGAGCAACGCAATCATCATGTTCACGAGAAGGATAACTGCCATGATTAAGAAGAAGCTGTACAGCACATGAATAAGAGAAACGGATGAATTGTCGACGGAGTTCAACCTATCCAGGTCAGCTAAACCCAGTAAAGACCAACCAAGGTGTGTCGCCATGTTCCACCAACTGAAGAACATAAGTAACGAGTTAGATCGGAACACCATTGAATTTTTGAAATTGAGATTGTTATGACCGCCATAAATGTTTTTAAACGTCTGTGTCCTGGAGGCTATCGTGTCACTACTCCTAAATGGATGATCGATTTCAAAATTTGTTTTTAAGATTCCTGGTCAGCTCCATCAAGTCAAACACCAACACATTTAAGGGTTGGTATCCAAAATATCACAAGATAACCTAAAACCTGAGGGATACCACTGGTAAAAAGAAATAGCAACGATGAAGTCTGGATTTTTCCAGAAGGAGAAACCGTAAGGTACCTCTTAAGAAGGTAAACTAATAGCTGCGTCGGCCTTTTTGCAGCTTTAAGAGGCGAAGTAGTGTTAATTAATCGGACGCGAAGCCGCGAGAGGGATGGGGGGCAAAGAGGGTTTCTTCACTCGCAGCTCTGCTTCTTGTTCTAGTAAATCTGCTGCCCTGAAAGGAAAGAGTGTCTTTCCTGCAAATTTTCATGATGAAGCTGATAAAGCTCAGTGCTGAACATCAGTACTTATTTCAACACATCAGAATGATTTTTTCTCACTTCTTTTCCTCTCGGGAGACCTTAATTAACCTTTCCGACCCCTCAGATATAGAATTTCACGCTTGAAACTTTTTAAATAATCGCGGCATATTGAAAGCGCGAAATTCAAGGTTAGCAAAAATTTCGTGTAACTTGGTATATTTTAGACATCAGAGTACAAAGTTAAAATTAGAGTAGAAAAAAACTATAATTTTATTCTTACCAAATTAGCCCGGAATCACTGCATGCCCTAAAAATGATAGGAGAAAATGAATGGTTAAAGAAACCGTTGCTATGGTTTACGGTTTAACCAACAGAAATTGTCCCATAACCACCCCCCTCTCCCCCTTCCAAATTTATTTACACGGTTGTGTTGTTCCAGAGAAATTGTTAACTAATATTCCTGAACTTATACCTCCAGAAGCACAAAAAGTAAGTGTATAGCAAGTCACTGACTCCACGATTTATGATTACGACTGACCCAGCGATGATTAATGGGCATCAGGCTATCATAATTTGATTTCAAACCTTTTGTGCATTAGTGGCGCGACGAAGTGACTTATTTATTGAGGCCTCTTTTTGAAATTTCCTGCTTGAGTATTCCTAAAGACTGTAAAAAATCGGCCTTCATGCAACGTTTGACATTCTGATCTGAGCAGTTTTACTCTCCTGTTGGGCTTCCCATCCAAAAAACTAAATCTCACTTGATTAGCTTTTAGCTCGCTGTTTCCTACATTGGGTGCCTAGACATTCATGAGGTTCCCCTCCATAACGTAAAAGGAAAGATCTTCCACCCCACTACTAAAAAGACTAACAAATGAATGGGCCCAACAAGTTAAAATCTGTCACTCACGGTTTCGATAATTTAGAAAGATCGCGATATGTACTCACAAATCCTCCGTGGAATTTTTTCCTAAGGTATAGGTCTTCTCAGCAACATATATCTTGGTCATAGCCAGAGAAAATGCTAGAATTATGGCCAAAAACTGCCAAAATATCGCTATTACATCCCAAATAACAAAGCTTGGTAGCTGGAGCCATACCTTTTCCTCCTCCTACACAGCTTACATGCTTTCATGCCAGCCTTTTTATGACTAATAAACTGATCCACTTCCATCAAAACGCGTCCCAGGAAGAAAACTAAAATGGCCCATTCTAGTCGACTGAAGGCAATAGTTGAAGGGGACAGGCAAATGGCGAAGTGAAGACCAAGGAGGGTGAGATAACTCAGCGTGTCACGGAAAAAGATGAAATAAGGAGTCGTAAAGTAATCCTTGTATTTCTCTGAAAAACATCATAATAATCATAGTTATACTCGGTAGGACAATGATTGAGACGCTAGCTTAGAATGGAGACCGTCAAAATGAAAACTCTGGAAGCATTGACGGTCTGACGAAAATTATTTGGAAAAAAAAAAGTTTAACGATCTGGAAATCTAGCTACCAAAAATAGCCCGTCCTCACCATAGATATTCTTTCCCTCGATACCTGTAAGAAAGTAAAACATATCAATTATAAAGCCAGTTATACTTCCGAGAAGTGGAGAGAAAAGTTAAAGCTTTTAAAAATATATCAACGTTAAAAACCTTCCTCAATTCGAATTGTAACAAGGACATGCAGTACTTTCTTATTTTTTTCCCAAACCAATTAGGAGAGTAATCATTATAGGGAGAGTTTTTTTTTATATCGTAATTCTAAACCTCCCCATGTTACCTTTTATGACAGCTGTTCCCAACGTCTCGTGTGACTCGAAGTCTCCAAAGTGACGTGCTGTACCATTTTTAGTTGCCATCTTATTTAACTCTGACAATTTGGCGTACTCCCCGATACCGACGGGAACGATGTTAACATTCATCTCCATTATCTCCTTTACTAAGGACTGTAGTTTCTCGGTGTTAGCCTTAACCATGCTTAACGAGTCATTAAGAAAGAGCACGACCACCTATTGTAAACATAAAATGAAAAAAAGGTGATATTTATTCACTTGATTCTCAAAAACAATTTACAAGTTTTATCAAATATGAGCCCAAACTTATCAATCTTGAAACTATACCAGCCTTCTAATAAATTAAAGGAGCTGCTTGAATTTTTTTACAAAGAAAACACTTTGAACAACAATAATTGGATTCGCAGAGAATATTGCTGATGTGCTCGTAAGTATCTTAACTACTGGCCATGGATCTATTGCATAAGTTATTTATCGTTTTGTTTATCTCACCGTTTATTGAATCTGTTCCACAACTGATAACTGTAGCTGTTATGTACATGTAATGCCAGATACGATAAAGAACTAAATCATTAAAGGGTAACTGACGCCAAATTTTTCTCCTTTTTTTGTCCCAATACATTCCTTAAAGAATCCTTCATGAGCAAATTTACGATATGGCGTGCAAAATCAAATTTTCTATAAATTTTTTTTGACGCTTAATCGACGGCCAGGTCGGGATGTGATACTTCACACGTGTGTAAGGCTGTGAAAAGCGTCATGTCAAGACCTGAAAGTACCAACTTCGTCCCGGCTGCTCAGTTGCTGCCGAAATTTACGAGCGGAAAAAAAAAAAGATTTGTTCCATTCTCTTATAGGCCACCAATTAGAGACTATGAAATACGAAGTGAGAAATAAAACAACGAAGGTTGAATAATCGAAACGCGACAGATAGCGTGTCTGTATTCAGAGCCACAGGTAATTTGCACGCCATTCCAAACAGCTGTAAAAAAATATATGTTCCCGTAATTTTTTCCTCTTAACCATTATCGAGTAAAAAAATTGAAAAAATGTACCACTGTCAGCTGAGTGAACAGTAAAACAAGCTGACAGTCTGAGAGAGGAAACCATTTAAGCACATGTCATAGGAATGCCTAGCTCCTACCGTTCAAAACGCAGTGCCTTGATAAAAAAAGGAACGGAGTCAGCGACAAACTCGTGCTATGGAAATAACAAGTAGGTAATGTTTCTCAAATTACGACCTGAACTTTAAAAACTATAATATATATATATATATATATATATATTTATACATATATATATATATGTTCACGGACAAGTTATAAAAAACTGTACTTCTCTTAGCCGCGTTGACATTTACAATATGAAAACAACAGGATGTAAAACAAAGAAAACGAAAACCAGGGAAGCTCTGTGTATTGATGTTTTGTAACAAAGCAAATTCAGACGTGGTCAGCCTCCACCAGTTTCCTCAAACCCTTGATAGTGGACAATACATCTGGCTTCTGCCTGCAACTGTTCCACTGTAACATCCTGCAAATTTTTATACTTCTACTTCTCGGCAAAAGATGTTTTAGAGGCTACTTTACTTTATTTACAATTCTTCATGTGCGAATGTTATTTTTTTCTGCATCGTGTTTTAAAGTAAAAGCCGAGAAATCTTTAATCGTTCGCCAAATTCAACACAAGAAAACTTAAAACCGATTCAATCGCGTGTGAACGTGTATAATCCATCCAATTCACCTCCACAAAAGTGTATGTTTGTATTTTTAATCAGTGAAACCTTAGCTTCGGAAGGTGCGTGCGTGTAGCATAAAAACACTTCACTCTCACGGTATTCAAGAGTCCACACACTTGGTTTTCTTTAATTGGTCGCTCCTACAATTAATAAGCAACTGATTTTCAGAATTTTTTTTACAATCGCAAATGCATTCACCATTCTTGCTTTCTCGATTGACGCGGCCGCGGCGCACGGGCTCTTGATCCTCTTCTGACCCCCGCCCTCTATTTTAGGTTACATTCGTCCTGGCGGTTCAAATTGGCTGGGCCTGATTTCACCAACGGATTCATAAACCCTTTCATCATGTTCACTTTACATCGAGGCCTCAAAATCCGAATAATAAGACCCCCGAAATAGGACTGCTTTCACTCGAAGTACTATCTGCCATTTTTTTTCGGTTAATGTACACACGTGTGACGTATAAGGTCACATGATCAAAATCGAAGCGTTTACGGCGGATGACTCAAAAGCTGAATTTAGGACAGTTTTCCCGGCGAAAAAAAGGTGCAAAGAGGCATACGAAGCACCTTGTATCTGTTTCAATGTGTTACTCGAGGCATTTAGACGGTATTCCGAAAAAGTGACATTTTAGCCGCCAGTTACCTCTAATATGCATACAAAAATTTCAGCATGCTCATTGGCTGAGAAGGCGTCAGTTAATCCCAAACTGTGTAGAGAGTTGAAACTGAATGCAAAAAGTAGAATGGATTGCAGAAAGTTGAAATTAAATTGATTGAGAGTCAAGAGAGTCGCGAAAGCAAAGCAAAACAAAATGGCGGACAAGTTAGTGGAAAGTAACCACGTTTTAGTTCAGAGTTTACAGGAGAATTGAAGAGCAAAAATACCCAAAAAAGCACAAACGACTGGCTAAAAGCTTGGAAGTTTTGGGACTTAAAAAACAACTGTATTTAAAACGGACGTACCGGAGGTCTTCAACAAAATTCCCGAGGAGTTCTTCTGAAAGACGGGAAGATTACGAGCCGATAGCAATCGTGAAATGGTTCATGCTTTTTACTGATACCAAGGGAAAATAGTGGGACATGTTTTTCTCGTGCTGATATCTAATATAGAAAGAGCATAAACGCTTGATTATTCGTGACAGTGAGTTTAAAAGCCCGAAGTACGAGGGGAAAGCCTGAGTCCTCCAGCAAGAAGGCAAATGCAAGGGGCCGGCCCATGAGCCGTGACACCAACTAAAACGTGATTTGTGTTTATGCTTTAAACATAAATCAACTGTAGCGTGCGGTCTTCAAAATCAATCAATACTGAATATGAATTGGTAAGTATAACTTACCAAGGCCTGATAACCAGCCCGTGACTGCAAAATGAGTCCATAGGAACAAGTTAAGGGACAAAACTTGACAGCGCTCCGCCGGGAAAACGGTTGCGCGCATGTATTCCTCACCTTTTTGGCCTCCTTTCCAAGTGTTTGGTTTGTGAATGCACTTCGGGTGGCCCTAAGATCTTCACCGAGTGAACTGGTAGAGTTTGGCAGCTGTAACTGGTTAATCCACGCTCGAAGTACATCCTCAGTAGTGCACCTCTCTTCAAAGTTTATGTTACCAATAATTTTTCAATATCTTTCTAGAGAATCTGCAGAAATATTAGTTCATGCATTAGTTATGGGAAGAATGGATTATTGTTATAGCCTTCTTTTAAGAGTGCCTGATATTTATTTAAATAAGCTGCAAAGAGTTCAAATACAATGGCCAGGTTAGTTTGCATTGTTCCTAGATTCTGTCATATAGCACCAGTTTTAGGTTCTTTGCACTGGTTGCCAGTTAAATTGGAATTAATCTCAAAATTTTAGTCATTACTTTTAAGGCTATTAATGGCCTCGCTCCTAATGACATATCTGGTCTTATTAAGATAATACAGCCTTTGAATTATAGTTTGCGCTCTAATTATGAGCTTTTATTACAACCATTAACCACTGGAGCGAAGAAAACTCTAGGTGATAAGGCTTTTGCCAGTGCAGCTCCTAAACTCTGGAATGGTTTTCCTGGTTCAATTAGAAATGCAAATATAACTTAATTAAATTTTCATAATTGATAGTTAGTTTTAAAGTTTTTATTCACTTTGATAAATTTTTGCTCTGTGTTGTTTATATTATTTTATCGTTTTGTATATTTTGATGCAGGGCCTAGTATCTAATTTTTATCTAACATTTATATTTCTATTTGTTTTTATTATATTTTTTTAACCACGCATTTGATCATATGCACATGTAAAATGCGCGTTACAAATAATAAATATTATTATTATTATTATTATTATTATTATTAATATCAAGTCCAAGCGTGAGTACAAACGCATTCATAAGTAAACTATACCAAGTGAAAACGAACGTCGACAAGCACAAGCACTAGTACAAGAAAAGGCATGCGCTCGTCTTTATGCTTGCATCGAGGCCGTTTTCATGGCGAAATAAGAGCTGTTACGCCTACATTTGTGCTTGCGCTTATGCTTGCGTCGCTAGTGAAAAAAAAATAATGAAACTTCCAAAAACATCTGGATGCACAGGACTAAGAGCCTGAGAAAATATTAATGTGTTTAAAAATGTACAAAAATGTCAGTATGATTCGGTGAAGATTTTATGTTTTCGAAACCGAAGAAATCCTCGTAATTCATCCGCAATATCTGTACACAAGAGACTAAGTATTGTTTATAATATCTTGCTACATGATAAACCGAGAAAAATTTGAAAAAAGGTTTCAATTTCTAAGTAGAATGCGAGCAAGCCCTCCTTTTCGGCGCAGTCCGTTGCGCGAGTCCGAAAAAGTCAGCCAAAACAAGAATGTTAGCGCGCCACGCGAAGTCTAAATGTTAAAAATGTTTTCAGCAAAGTTATCTAAGTTTCGGTAAAAGATATGACCACCAGACTGTTTCGCACCAGCAAATATAACTAATGCTGTAGTGTAGTGTACAGTCGAACCTGTATTTAGCGGTCACTCACGGGGAATGGCGGGATGACCGCTTGATACAGCTTTCACGGATTAGGAGTATTATAAAACAACGCCATTTCATGCCATAATTGACCACTTAGTGTACTGAATTTGCAACTTTGATCTCGCTACTTTGATTTTGGGATTAAAAGTTTCTTGAAAGATTGTATTGTGCGGTAGTTTTATACAAGAGTCTGTTCCCAGCTACTGGTATTGATCCGACAAATTCAGGACGATTAACCGCTTAATACAGGGTGACCGCTTAATACAGCCTCAACTGTAAATCACAAAATACCTTAAAATGTTTTAGTACATTCCAGAATGCTTTGTTGTTTACTTTGTTATGATTGAGTGGTCACTTAGTCAAACATTATCACTACAGACCTCTCGCAGACTAGCGCTGCTCAAGATCTTCTTTCTCGCAGGCGAAGAAACTCACATGCTGAAGCGTTCACGATGAGGGCATGTCTGTTGGCCATGCTTGCTGAGTTATGCATTAGATGTTGTAGACGGTCGCGCATCTCTACTGATTTAAGTAGCTTTAAGTGGAGCTGTTGTATTCAATAAAGCAGCGGGTTGAAAGTGACCTCTACAGTTTCTGTCACAACTAAAATGCAATGGTCCTCTTAAAAAAAATAATTAATTAATTAAAAACAACCATCATTGATGTTGTGAGAGGTATGAAAACGTCATCGCTTTGTTAAAATGACATCGTCACAGAATTTAATTTGTGAGCCACTCAAGAGGACGTGATAAAAACAAAGACTCAAAAACGCAAGCAGAGCCGTAGTCCCACGGGAAATCAATTGCGTCACTATTGTTTCTTGTTTCTTATCAAAGAAAAGTGTGCATAATGAGTAAGGGCAAAGCGGAAAGCTTGCTCAAGGATGTTTAAAACCACCTTCGCCAAATCAGGACCGAGAGAAACAACGCTATTAGAAAAAAGACCAGGATTTCTTTATGAGGATTAATTTTGAAAGAATATAAGACCTCAACAAAGTTTTCTTTCTTATTCGGTTATTCATTTACAAGTCAATCTCAGTGAAAGTTATTACGGGAAAATTTACTGATTTTTTCCGTGTGTTTGTTGCATTTGCATAAAGTCTTCCGCAATTCAACGCCTCAAGTCTAAATGTAAGATAACAGAACAGAGCTAAGTCGAATCAATTCTGGACGGGAGACCCATTTAATCTGTGATGTCCCACACAACTAACAATCTCTCCTAAGTTCAAGACATCACGTTAGCCGCAAATGAGAACTCGTTGTGACGTTATAATTCAATCAAAATGTTGACAGTCATAACTTACTTCTTACAATTCCCAGGGTCGGCCATTATCTTCCTGCGCAAGCCGGCTGAAAGTCCCTATGGATTATGTGCTGGAATGGAGTTCTACAAAAACGAAGAATCGATTGGCTTCTAGTTTTCCTTCCGCAACTGTTTACAATGAGTGACTACAAAATTAACGCACACACGTAGCAGGTCAAGGCACAAAAATCTCGACGGTGATTGGTCGATTTGCAGCAAACCTCATTTCGGAAGTGAATTATTCACATGCTAGAGATAAGTATCCTTTCACCGCTGCTTCAGGGATTTTCTTCATATTGTTCACCGGAAAATCTTAAACATGCCTCTAAACGTACATAATAGCACACATATATTTGAAAAACAGGTCATATCTTCAGCGAATGCAGGTAAATTCTTATTCCTTCTATGTTGTTATCTTGTCTAATTTCACACGCGAGAATTTTCAGGCCCAAGATAAAAAACAAAGGTGCGAGAGGATCACTTTGACGAACCCTACGCTCTGTACAAAAGATAATTTGTATTGAAACCGTTATTCATATATATATATATATATATATATATATATATATACATCTGTTAAATTTTTTCCAAATTTTAAATAGAAAATCATGGGCAAAAGATTCATATGCTTTTTTTTTTTCTTTCAACCAAGATTATAGTGTTATTTTTTCATTTCCAAACTTTCCTCGGTGGTCCACACTGCATCAAATACAGATCTTCATCTCACAAATCCATTTTGGTTGTGATGAATAATTTCGGAGAGAAACGGTTCGAGCCTCTTAGCAAGGCTTCTAAAACATTTGTTGGTGAGATAGGGCACCAATTTTGGATGAAACGTTTATTCTAATCTTGTTTCCCAAAATAATCACCAATACTCGTCTCTGAGAAGAACAGAGTTGACCATGAACATGGGAGAAGTGTAAAGATTTAATGAAATGATTTTCCAAATATTCTAAAAAGGAAAGTAAATTCGGAAGTTGGGCCATCATTTCCTGGTGTTTTGTTTTGCATGAACGATTCAACTCGATTAAGTTTTTTAGATAAACACTGTTTACCATTGTCCGCTCCATTAAGAAAGTTATTCATAGAATCACCCAAAGTAAGTGAATTTTCCTTGTAAAGTTTAGAATAGAAGTTTTCGAATTCCGTCAGTATTTCCGTTGGTATTGTGCTCTGACTATTTTCATCAACGAATATTTTCTTAATGCAGATCTTTTCCTTTTTGTTATTTTCTAGGTTGAAAAAAATTTTATTCCCCAGGAAGCCGTAGTCTTAGAAAACAGCCAATTTAATCACGTTTTTTCGGTAGTACGTACAAGTAGTCAGAACAGCTGTCATAACACAGTTATATGATATGAATATTTGATTTGAATTGGGCTAGTTACTTGGGCTGAAACTTGTGAAAGAAGGCGCGGTGATAACAGGGCAAAATTAAATAAGAGCAAATAAGATTTTTTTGGAATATTGGTCTTATTTTTTCTCAGTGACGCTGCACGTGGGTAAATTGTTGAATTTTGGAAGGTTTCTTGGCATAGAAGAGGAATCGGTATCTTTCTGTTTTCAACATTTCCTTAGCATACGCGGAAGATTGTGATCCATTGAAGGTAGTGAAATCTCCAGTGTTGTGGGATAACGTGGGGTCTTTCCTCCAATTCTTACACAACATGCCTGATCACGAAGAATATTTTTTGCCAAGAGTGAAGGATTTTTAAAAAGCATTTGGGAGCAAACTCTTGCTAGTCGTCGCGAACTCGTCGGGGAGGAGGTACCCAGATGATCTTGCTAATAATCTGCTCATAGATCTTCTACGCGTCTGTCCTCCAATAGATCATAGGCGAGAACCAGTCTGAATGCGTGAACAGTTCATCCTCTCACAAAATTACTCTTTGCAAATACTAAGTAACCTCCTCATCTTTTACAAAGCTAAATATTTTTCAAGTTCGAAAATAAAGTTGAACTAGGTATCCACATAATACTTTCGCGAATGATTCAATGAAACTGCCGAGTACCGGTATATCTCGCAGCCTTTTCTTGGATGTCACACAACGTGCATCAGTTGCATGACGTCGCAAAAACGGCTACAAAGGGAACAAGTGTCTGATACGCAAAAGTATAAATCTAGACATGCTGGATATGACTGTGGAACAAAAGTATGAGCAATTAAGCTATTTTATGTATGCTGCTACAAAACGAAGAGAGTAATTGTCGCAATTTGCTCCTAATTCTTTTCACCATTTGCCAAGAAAAAATATGAACAACAACGGCCAGTCCAACTTATTTTTACTTTCTGGCTACCTTCATAAAAGCTAACTAAATGTTGCTGAGTCAGACTTAGCGAAAGAGTATCTCTTCAAATTAGATATTTATAATTGCTTACAAAATTATTTATGTTTTTTGGAAATTTGAAACTCACTAGTGATTATTGTTGCTTTATATAACGTTCACGTGACATTATTGAAAGTCTTTTCGATAAAATTGCGTGGGTTTGCATTTTCCTGTTGTTTAACAACTCATTCCTAATTTACCAGCATCTTTAGTTCCACCTGCGAAAATGAGTTGTCAATCATACTCTTCAAACAACTCTTTCTTCAAAAATATCCTGGTCAGTCAAGACTTTTATTTTCTTGGGAGTTTGTACGCCATCAAAGAGTTACTATGTAATACAAGTTTTTACTGAACCATTCATTCAGGCAACTTTCCACTTACATCAGGCGTTAGCTTTAGGCTAAACCTAGACAAAAAGACAAGATTGATTGACACATTTTAAAAGGTTTACTATTGCAAATTATGAAGACCAACGCTTCTCCACGAAAAAAAACCTATTTAAGCCCATTTATTCCAAGAAATATCAGGTAAGAGAGGAAACCAATGTGGAACCTTTAATTCCCATGGATGACCAAGAGATAATTTCTCCTTACAGCATCAGTACAATTCATTCAAAAGTGTACATGCGCTCTTCCTTTTTCCTTTTGTTTTCTAATTGACACGTATCAGACTGTGACAGATACACCGAAGTCCGTTACGGGGATAAAAGAGAAAACAATGAGAAAAAAATAATAATTAAGATGTCAGCGCGCTGCACCTCACTCCCAGAGTTCTGCGGCTGATTTTTTCTTCGACTGGTATAACGGACCTCACCAACTATAGTCTACGTAAATACCTCATATATGATCTTATGCGCCGATCAATTCGAAATGTCCCGGGTTCATTGCAGTGCATACTTGAGGATCATTTTGTTCACCGGGATCACATATACATCAGTTGCACAGATGTAAATTTCTCTCCTTGCGTGTGACTCGCCCTTTGTGACCGCCTCGCGCTTACATTCGATAAAAATATTAGTCTAGTATTAGATAAAAAAATCTCTTCTGCTGCTATCTTCATTCGAGACTAGAAGGATTTTAATAAAGGTACAGGGATTCACACAAATTTAGATTGCGCCTAAGCTGAATAAATGTTCTCGAACAACTACTGAGGAGATGAAAATCGTCTTTGTTTTCCTCTGTCCTTTACTTCCTTCAAACGCAGTGCTAACTTTAACATCCTCCCTTGCTTGTCAAGTTGATCCTGAAAATCACGTCGCAGATCTCCAATTTCCTTCTGAAGGTCTTCATTTGTTATTCTACTAAAATGGTCTCTGTCGGGATGGCACATCTAAAACGTGCAAAAGTCAAACGCCTCCAATTTAAAATGAAAAAGACAATTTTAAGACAGCGATGATCAAAAGTTGTCAACTATAGACTTTAATTTTCACAATTGTGGAATAAAGATATGCTGCAGAGATCGACGCGCTTTTTGCCTGTTCTTACCTTAAGAGCAATCAGGGCATAGCCTTTTGGTAAAAAGGATGGATAGTTTGTAAATGTTCGCAAACGTTTAAATTACTCAAACTTGAACAAAATTTTAGTGGTCTTTTCAACACTGGATACAACAAAGTTCTTCTTCGCCACATGCTTCTAATTTGGTCTCATGACCAATCCCTTGATTGTAACTGGAGGAGTGTGCCGAGGCGGGATACGTTAGCGGATCACCGATGAAACCAAACCATTTACAGATTCAATTTCTAGCCCATTACCCTCCCCTCCCCCCTCCCCACTCCCCCCTCCTTCTTTCGAACATACCTTGGTGAGCACTGTAATGCCTTCAGATCCCAATGAAACGAAGGGAAATAGTTCATTTCCCTCTGTATACTCCAATGAAGAACGCGCTACTTCTCTACCGTTCAAGGAGAATAACACAGAGACTTTGCCCTCGAGGTTTCCACTAAAATCAACTTCACAAGCGATGAGATCGCCGCGGTAAGCCATGGCTCCTAAGTTATCAACAGAAAACATTAAGTACATGGCAAAAATATAGCAAAATAAACCAAACTTGAGGCAACCAACCGTGTAACACCAGGATGTGAAATTGGACTTTTTTTCTTTGTTGTTCGATCTTGATCAATGACCTACTTCTTTGTTCATCCGAACACAAAGCTTGATCTCTCTTATTCTATTTATATAAGGAATTTTGACGATAAAAATGATTCATGCAACGTCATGCATTTGTTGATATGAATCTCGTTTTTCTTTGGCCTTTAATGTGTTCTCTAGAAAGCATTCCATCGGCAAGCAGAGGAGGGTTCCAGCCCCCCACGATCAAAGGATTCAGGGATCTTTTTTAGTTTCACACTCCAGGCACATAGATTTTACAGTAACTTCGTTCAACATTCTATGTTGGGCACACAACTACAATACATTCCTCATTTATCTCTTGCACGTCAGAATAATCATTGCGAGGGATTCTACTGAAACAGAAACCTATTGTCGCAAGGTCGCCCTAAAAGGACGGCAAGGCATTGACCACGTTCCCGAGCGCCAAGAGATCCTTGTGGCAGATATCGTACACCTATCGTCACAGTAACCCATACCTTCGACTTCTTTTCCCAGCTCACGGCAGTCAGTTTCAAATATTTTACCATCGTCTATGTGGTAACCGACTGCTCCTTCATCCCAGCCAGGCATTTTATGACAGTCGTACGACTGAGGCACAGCACCCAGAGCCACAATACGCCTCTCCCCAGTCTCCTGAATAAGTACCTACAAAACAATGTCGGACTTTTGTTTTTTAGACTGTTGTTACGGTTGCCCCAAGCCCAAGTCCCATGCTTTTAATTTTTGTTTCGGGCTGCAAATGGGTTTTTCGCAAATGAGCGCGAGGGAATACTAGTTTCTTAGACCAAAGCAAAATAACAACGATGATAAAGACGATGTTAGCAATAATATAAACAATCAACATCCGAAATAATGATCATATAAACAACAAAAGCAGCTATAATAACAACTGCAATAATGATGATAATTATAAAATTTATAATAGCATTAATATAAATAATAATAGCAATAATAATATTAATAAAAACCATTACATTATTCAAAGGTGGCCATCAAAGGCCGTATAACTTGGCCCTGAAATGCACCTCAAAGAAAGAGAACAAGGAGATGAATTTAACCTTTCACACTCTAACATCATTATGAATATTCAACATGCTGTTCTCCGTACATTTTTTTTTTTGCCAATTTGTAATTATGATACATCAGTAGAAATCAAAAAGGAATTTCATATATATTATTATGATATAGCTGAATATTTAACATACGGCGAGGAAACCCGTAGGGAAAGAGAGAGGCTTAGGCGAGCTGCAGGCTCCTCATATTTTACAAAAGTGAGGTATCGCTTTTATGGCGTGAGTCAGGTCTAAAAATATTTTTTAGGTTAAAATGGAAAGAACTCACACACACAAAATGACAACAATAGCAGGGACTCACACAAACATATACTTAAGCAGCGTGAGAAAAGTAAGACAAAAAATAAAAATAAATAAATAAACTGATAAATAAATCAATAAATAAGAATAAGAAGGGAGTCAACTTAGGAGTAGTGTTGGCAATTTAGACTTAAACAGGGAAAGTGTGTCAACATTTTGGATTTATATATTCAGGGAATTGAAAAATTTACGTCCTTGGAAACATAACGCAAACTGTTTGATATTTGTTCTGCAATAGGGTATGTAAAAGAGGTGCATTGTCTGGTGTAATAGCAATGATTGCTGCTCGAAAATGAAATAATCTTTTAAGAGCATCAGGAAGACGGCCTATCTAGAACAAAAACATGATCTTTCCTATTTGAAATCGATACATATTGTATTTTCAACTGCCTAAATATAGGTTCAGTATGAGCGTTAAAAGTACTTCTTGATATAATTCGTACCACCTTTTTCAGGAGTAGAGCAATACGTTTTAAGGTGGATGGATAAGTGGAGTCCCATACCATAAAGCAATAAAGTAAGTAGGGATAAACAACACTTAAGTACAGGGTGCATAAAGTTGAAGTAGGTAGGCAGAGACTAACTATATAGACTATACCGATGGATTTTTAAACTTCCTAACGATATAGGCAATGTGCGGTTTCCATGACAAATTTTCGTCAAGAGTAACACCTAGTATAGTACAGTGTTTAATCTTTAGTTCAATATTAAGATTTCCCTTTTCTGTCTTGAATTGAAAACCATGAAATTTGATTCAATAACATTTATTGAAAGTTTATTGGCTCGGCAACAGTCCGTTAGGTTAAGCAGTTCTTCATTCAAGGTTTTCTCGATAAAATTCAAATTTTTATGGGAGAAAAAGATGATTGTATCATTAGCAGAAAGAATGAAGTCTAAAACCGTTGAGACATCACAGATATCATTGATGTAAATTAGAAAGAGCAGAGGACCAAGAATGGAGCCCGGAGGAGCACCACATTTGATATTTGAATTGGATGAATTAAATCCATTGAACTGAAAAAAAATGTTGTTTATTGTTTAGATAGTCTTCCAGCCAGTTAAATGCAACACCGCGAAAACCATAGTGAAGAAGCTTATCAAGAAAAATTTGATGGTTAACCGTGTCAAAGGCTTTAGAAAAATCAATAAATAAACCCTCTGTTTTCTCATTATTATCAATAACAGAAGAAATTTTGTGATACAAAAGAGCTACTGAGGTATATTCAGTCGAATGCTGTTTACGAAAACCGAATTGATTATCGGTTAGTATCTTACATTTACCCATATAATCAATATTTCGATTGTAGACAAGTTTTTCCAAAACTTTATAGAAAGAGGTAGAACAGAGATAGGTCTGTAATTTGAGAATAATGACTTATTGCCAATTTTAAACAATGGTACGACACGAGGAATCTTTAGCTTTGCTGGAACAACTCCAGAACTTACCGATAAATCAAAGATATGAGTCAAAGGACTACTAATTGAAGTTATTGCGTTCGACCCTGTACGCTCTCTCGATGTCGATGTCAATGCCAATCTTGTTTTTAATGGCAACTTTCACTTTCTCCTCAGACTCTTCCCACGTTTCGTGCGAAGACTCTGGGATTCCATTGACCCTGATTTTGTTTCAACGGCTTTCGTTTTCCATATCCTCTTATGAAAGCGATTGTGTCGATAAGGTAGATTTTAACTGATCAATTTTTTTATTGGATGTATCAAGTTTTCCTTCAAAAGGCTTCAGATTATCGACGTCCTTTTGAGTGAATTGTAGGCTAGTATTGATGGACTGAACTGATTTTTCAACCTCAGTAATTCTTGTGGTGAACGACTGCAACTGAAAATCGAGTCGAACAGAGTCTTCATCATTGACTCTTGAGCCTCTAACTGATTCCCGAACAGTTCCCAGGGTGACATACTCATCGTCTTCAGTAATGGCAGCCTGATCTTGTTCGCTTTGTACTAGTTGTACTGGGTTTTCTGGCTTTGAACTAACTCCTTCTCTTTCTTCCCATTGGCAAATTAGATTACAATGAAAGGTAGAGTTACGAAAAAACACTTCAGTTGTTTATAATGGAACAGTAAGGAGTGAGTAATAACTAAATAACATCATTCGGCAACGGAGCTACTGATATCACGTCCGCACGCCATGGCTTCGGCTGAGTTTCCTACATTTGTGCTAACAAGGAAGAATTATAGTTAAACAATGAAGAGCCTTTTCGGTTGGCGATGATTTACTTTATTCTTGTGACCCTAATGTTCGACTCAGGGATGATAATGTCAGGAGAAACTACAAGTCAGTCGCTCTTAGGAGTTACAGGGTTAAGTGCCTAAACGAGATCGATGTTGACACGTTACCATGAAAGCAAAGGTGAAAATAGGATACCACAAGAGGAACATAAAGAGTTTTTTTAGGAACCGGTCTGGTCTTTCTATTATGGAGGCACCGTTAAGTTCATTCCTAAAAAAATTAGTATCTGTAGTGCTACAAAATAGAAAAGAATACCAGCACCTACAAGAGGGAGGTTATTTAAGGGAAGAGGGTAAAAAGGCGATGTAATTATGTTGCATCTTCATAGAATCTGATGAAATTAGGAGATCCTCGCAGCTAAGAACACTACTGAAACGAGTAGTTGTAAATAGGACCTGAAAAAATTTCAGGCCCGTACGGGATTTGAACCCATGACCTCTGCGATACCGGTATCGCAGAGGTCATGGTTTCAAATCCCGTACGGGCCTGAAATTTTTTCAGGTCCTATTTACAACTATTCGTTTCAGTAGTGTTCTTAGCTGCGAGGATCTCCTAATTTCATCTTTCCACCGCAGTGCAAATATGTGAATTTTCATATATCTAAAATCTTCATTCACAGAATCTATTATGAAGCAGGAAGTATATAAATTAAATTTGTTGTTCGCAAATAATTCTCTATAAATCAAAAGCACACCTCAAATCTTGGTGTTTCTGGTGTAAAGGGAGACTTGAACATGGCACTGTGAATGTCCTTATGATTTCCACTTTCGCATATTTTGCAGAATTTAGGTCCCATGTAAGTTAAGAGACAGCCATCGACAGCAATTCCCGGCGAATCATACCACGCCTTTAAATGACAATCAAACAAAACTTCAGTAACACGAGGGACCCCTTCAGGCGACTGCTATGTCACCTGAAAATGTCTGCGGCTGAGACATTGTCCAAAAAATGAATGTTTGGCCAAGAACCGAAGCCTCAAGGAGAAATTTAAAAACTTAAAGATAATCTCTCAACCAGGGACATTGTCAGCCGACATGCCAGCAAGCTAGAAGGGGTTTTATTCAAGTTATAACCCTCCCATTAATTTTCGTATCGCGCGTTGAGAGCGAATTTTGTTGCCTTTTTTGTACTTCCCGGAGCAGCATTTGAGATTAGATTTTCTATGTCACTACAAAACAAGTTTAAAAAGGTTAAAAAGGTGTATTCTGATGGAGCAGGATCCATAGTATATGGTAGGGAAACTTCCTGTTTAATTAACATGTGAATGTGTGCCTCAAAAACACTCACTCTGTGGCCAGACGCAAGTTTCTCCTCCTTGGTTCCACGCGGTCGGAATACTTGCCGAACTATCTGATTGGCCAATTTTCGTCCTCCCTCATTTTCTTGCACCAAGTGATCTATCTTTTTCCCCTCTAAAACAAAGCGAGGAACCAAATATTAAATTGGCCTCTTCTGAATCTAGTCAGCAAAATCATTACGATACGCCTGGTTATAAATAGATTATCATTATTGGAATTCTTAATTTGTGATACTTCATTTCTTGTCCGTCATGGTAGAAACTTCTTTAGAACTATCGCTTTGATAATAACAAAGCAAAGTTTAATAGAACAACATCTCTTTGCGCAATATTCTTTTGTATGACCATATCATATATTTCTGGGGCTGTCTACCAATCTAGCACATCACCCACCTGTGAGGGGAAATTCATAACCATATTTCTCGAAGTACCTCCTTTCTAGTTTCTCCACCACTTTATTCAGAGCTACTCTCTGTCGAATCAAAGAAGGCCACATCGAAATTGAAGTAAAATCACTGAGCAGACGTAAATGATAACTTTAAACAACAGCAGCTTGTTAAAACTCACAAAACTAATTGGCAAGGCCGCAGCTTACCCGTCCCTCGAGCGAAGCAGGAGTGTCGCACCATGTTTTACACGAACACTTCCGATAGAGGTTCCAGAGTACTATCAGGGGGACAGACAAAAGGTTGAAGGGCACTGGTATCGGATGATAGGTGCTGTAAGTTCTTACAGTAATGGCTCTCTTGAAAGACCACTCCTGCAGTGAATTATCCTGATAATAGAGGAATGAGAGGAACTTAACAGCTTCTAAGGAAGTACCAGTTAATAAAGACAACAGGCGACACTCCTATAGCGGAAGAATATTTTGGACATATCATACCAGAGGGACAATATTCGCCATCATTTTCGTCTATAGCGTCAGTCGGCCAAAAGTATAATTATAAATGATCATATAATCTTTTGTATCTTACGCCAAAAAAGTCCTGCCGAGCTTACAGTCGAGAACCTCTCATATTTTCTTAACTCTGGATTATAAACAGAATTAATATACATCAGCGAAGGCATAGAGACTGTTAAGTACCTGAACCTGCTGATAGGTGTTGGAGAGCAACGCAATCATCATGTTCACGAGAAGAATAACTGCCATGATTAAGAAGAAGCTGTACAGCACATGGATAAGAGAAAGGGATGAATCGTCGACGGAGTTCAACCTATCCAGGTCAGCTAAACCCAGCAAAGACCAACCAAGGTGTGTCGCCATGTTCCACCAACTGAAGAACATAAGTAACGAGTTAGATCGGAACACCATTGAATTTTTGAAATTGAGATCGTTATGACCGCCATAAATGTTTTTAAACGTCTGTGTCCTGGAGGCCATCGTGTCACTACTCCTACATGGATCATCGATTTCAAAATTTGCTTTGAAGATTCCTGGTCAGCTCCATTAAGTCAAACACCTACACATTTAAGCGTTGGTATCCAAAATATCACAAGATAACCTTAAACCTGAGGGGAACCACTAGTAAAAAGAAATAGCAACGATGACGTCTGGATTTTTCCAGAAGGTAAACTAATAGCTGGGCTGGCCTTTTTGCAGTTTAAGAGGCGAAGTAGCGTTAATTAATCGGACACGAGGTCGCGAGAGAGATGGGGGGCAAAGAGGGTTTCTTCACTCGCAGCTCTGCTTCTTGTTCTAGTAAATCTGCTGCCAAGAAAGGAAAGAGTGTCTTTCCTGCAAATTTTCATGACGAAGCTAATAAAGCTCGGTGTTGAACATCAGTACTTATTTCAACACATCAGTATGATTTTTTTTCTTTTCCTCTCGGGAGACCTTAATTAACCTTTCCGATCCCTCAGGTACAGAATTTCACGCTTGAACCTTTTTAAATAATCGTGGCATATTGAAAGCGCGAAATTCGAGGTTAGCAAAAATTTCGTGTAACGTGGTATATTTTATACATCAGAGCACAAAGTTAAAATTAGGGTAGAAAAAAAACAACAGTTCTACTCTTACCAAATTAGCCCGGAATCACTGCATACCCTAAAAATGAGAGCAGAAAATGAATGGTTAAAGAAACCGTTGCCATGGTTTACGGTTTAACCAACAGAAATTTTCAAAGTTACATGACCACCCTCCCCCCCCCTCCGAATTTTATTTTACACAGTTGTGTTGTTCCAGAGAAATTGTTAACTAACATTCCTAAACTTATACCTCCAGAAGCACAAAAAGTCAGTGTATAGCAAGTCACTGACTCCACAATTTATGACTACGACTGACCCAGCGATGATTAATGGGCATCAGGCTATCATAATTTGATTTCAAACCTTTTGTGTATTAGTGGCGCGACGAAGTGACTTATTTATTGAGGCCTCTTTTTTAAATTTCCTGCTTGAGTATTCATAAAGACTGTAAAAAATTAGCCTTCATGCTACGTTTGACATTCTGATCTGAGTAGTTTTACTCTCCTGTTAGGCTTCCCATCCAAAAAAGTAAATCTCACTTGATTAGCTTTTAGCCCACTGTTTCTTACATTGGGTGCCTAGACATTCATAAGGTTCCCCTCCATAACGTAAGGGAAAGCTCTTCCACCACACTACTAAAAAGACTAACAAATGAACGGGCCCAACAAGTTAAAATCTGTCACTCACGGTTTCGATAATTTAGAAAGATCGCAATATGTACTCACAAATCCTCTGCGGAATCTTTTCCTGAGGTATAGGCCTTCTCAGTAACATATATCTTGGTCATAGCCAGAGAAAATGCTAGAATCATGGCCAAAAACTGCCAAAATATCGCCATTACATCCCCGATAACAAAGAACAAAGCGATTTGTACTGCACCCATTCCCCGCTTGCGCTCTATGACTTGACCAAAGGTTCTCAGTGTGAGAAACATGGCAATAAATCCATAAAAATACTCTGAGACAGCCAAGAGTGAGTTTTCTGACGCGTCCGTGGAGTTCACCCATGTAATTATGCGTAATAAGAAGGTAATCAGGTAGAAAACAAGAATGATGAAGTCAAGCACATTCCAACGGTCACTATAAAATTAGTAGATATCAGTACTAGAAGACCATTATCTATTTAAGGGAATCCGTGAACTGCTAGACCTTTCATAATTATGAGGCAAAATAATCAGTTCTTACAAGTACCACTATTTATTGTTGCAATGAGTACGAGCTAATTAATGGTGTACTAAAACAATAAAAATCGGTTGCTGTCAATGAACCCGGGCAGTGAACCATGTCACCTCATGACTAATGATACAGCTCTAAAAAAATTACCAGTGTACCTAAGCTGAGAACAGTGGCTCGTTTTGTTATCGTCTTCAAGCTGTAAACTCTTTTTCCCCATCCTTCCTAGCTGATCTTGTCCCCAACATGAATGAGAATCTAGTATTGTCACTAGAAACAGAAAAGAACACGCTGAAATACCTGAAATAATTACTAAGCTTCTTTAGCAAGATATTGTCTTCTTCTGCCTCATTTGTCTCTTGGTGACCCTCTTGTGAGCCTTCTTGGCAGCTGGAACCATCCCTTTTCCTCCTCCTACACAGCTTACATGCTTTCATTCCAGCCTTTTAAGGACTAATAAACTGATCCAACTCCATCAAAACGCGTCCCAGGAAGAAAAATAAAATGGCCCATTCTAGTCGACTGAAGATAATAGTTGAAGGGGACAGGCAAATGGCGAAGTGAAGAACGAGGAGGATGAGATAACTCAGCGTGTCGCGGAAAAAGATGAAATAAGGAGTCGTAAAGTAATCCTTGTATTTCTCTGGAAGACATCATAGTAATCATAGTTATACTCGGTAGGACTATGAATGAGACGCGAGCTTAGAATGGAGACCATCAAAAGAAAACTCTGGAAGCACTGACGATCTGACGAAAATTATTTGGAAAAAAAAGTTTAACGATCTGGAAATCTAGCTACCAAAAATAGCCCGTCCTCACCATAGATGGTCTTTCCCTCGATACCTGTAAGAAAGTAAAACATATCGATTATAAAGCCAGTTACACTTCCGAGCAGTGGGGAGAAAAGTTAAAGTGGTGCGCTTAGTCAAACTTTGTCACCACAGACCTCTCGCTAACTAGCGCTGCTCAAGATTTTCTTTCCCGCGGGCAAAGAAACACACAAGCCGAAGCGTTCACGATGAGGGCATTCCTGCAGGCTATGCTAGCTGATTTATGTATTAGATGTTCTAGACTCTCACGCATCTCTATATAAACGGAGCTGTTGAATTCAATAAAGCAGTGTGTTCAAAGTGACTTCTACAGTTTCTGTTGCAACTAAAATGCAGTGATCCTCTTATAAAAATTATATAAATAAAAAAGAACTATTAATGATTACGAAAACAACTTCATCGCTTTATTAAATTGACATCGTCTCAGAATTTAATTTATGAGGCACTCATGAGAACGTGATAAAAGGAACGAATCAAAAACCACAAACAGAACCGTAGTCCCCCAGGAAGTCATCAATAGCGTTGCTATTGTTTCTTGTTTCTTCTCAAAGAAAAGTGTACATATTGAGTGAGGGGCAAAGCGGAAATTTTGCTCAAACATGTTTTAAAACCACCTTCGCTAAATCAGGACCGAAAGAAAAAACGCGTTAGGAACTAAGGCCAGGATTTCTTTATGAGCATTAATTTTAAAGAATATAAGACCTCAACAAAGTTTTCTTTCTTATGTGGTAACTCATTTCCAAGTCAATCTTAGTGAAAGTGCGTTTGCATAGAGTTTTTCCGCAATATTCAACACCTCAAGTCCACTGCACGATAACAGAGCAGAGCTGAGTCGAATCAACTCCGAATGGGAAACCCATTTAATCTGTGATTTCCCTCACAACTAGCAAACTCTTCTAAGTTCAAGATATAACGTTAGCCGCAAATGAGAACTCACTGTGACGAAATAATTCAATCAAAACATTGACAATCATTACTTACTTCCTACAATTCCCAGGGTCGGCCATTATCTTCCTATGCAAGCCGCGTGAAAATCCCTATGGATTATATGCTGGAATAGAGTTCTACAAAATAGTAGTTGTTACGAAGAATCGATTGGCTTCTAGTTTTCTTTCCTCAACCCGTTTACAATGAGTGACTACAAAAATTAACGCATACACGTATGCCGATCAACGCTGAAGTGCCCAAAAATCTCGACGATGATTGGTCAATTTGCAGCAAGCCTCACTTTGGAAGTGAATTCTTCACATGCTAGAGATAAGTATCCTTTCACCGCTGCTTTAAGATTTTTTTTTTTTAACATTGTTTACCAGAAAATCTCAAATATGCCTCTAGACGCACATACGAGCACGCATATATTTGAAGAACAGGATATATCGACAGTGAATGCAGTTAAATTCTTATTCCTTCTATACTGCTATCTTGTCTAACTTGACACGCGAGAATTCTCAGGCCCAAGATAAAAAACAAAGATGCGAGAGATCACGACGAACCTTATGCTTTGTACAAAAGAGAATTTGTACTGAAACCGTTATTCATAGTTCATCTTGACATATCTGTACAAAAGGTTCTTATCCAGTGCAAGAAATATGATCCAAAACTACAAGCCTGAGAAAAACATTGCTGTGTTTAAAAATGTACAAAAATGTCAGTATGATTTTGTGAAGATTTTATGTTTTCGAAACTGAAGAAGTCCTGGTATTTCATCCGCAATATCTGCACACAAGAGACTAAGTATTGTTTATAATATCTATGCTATAAGATAAACTGAGAAAAAGGTTTCAACAAGTGGACTGCGAGCAAGCCCCCCTTTTCGGCGAAGTCCGTTGCGCGAGTCTGAAAAAGTCAGCCAAAACAAGAATGTTAGCGCGCCACGAGAAGTCAAGGAACTAAATATTAAAAATGTTTTCAGCAATGTTATCTAAGTTTCGGTAAAGGATATGACCATCAGACCGTTTCGCACCAGCAAATATAACTAATGCTGTAGTAAAGTGTACAGTCGAACCTGTATTTAGCGGTCACTCGCGTGGAATGGCGGGATGACCGCTTGATACAGGTTCCACGGATAAGGAGTATTACAAACAACGCCACTTTATGCCATAATTTACCACTTAATGTACAAAATCTCGCTCTTTCATTTTGCTACTTTGATCTCGCTACTTTGATTTTGGGATTAAAAGTTACTTGAAAGATTATATTGTACGCTAGTTTTATAAAAGGGTCTGTTCCCAGCTGCTAATATTGATCCTTTTTTTGTTTATTTTGTTATGTTTGAGTGGTGCGCTTAGTCAAACTTTGTCACCACAGACCTCTCGCTAACTAGCGCTGCTCAAGATTTTCTTTCCCGCGGGCAAAGAAACACACAAGCCGAAGCGTTCACGATGAGGGCATTCCTGCAGGCTATGCTAGCTGATTTATGCATTAGATGTTCTAGACTCTCACGCATCTCTATATAAACGGAGCTGTTGAATTCAATAAAGCAGTGTGTTCAAAGTGACTTCTACAGTTTCTGTTGCAACTAAAATGCAATGATCCTCTTATAAAAATAAATAAATAAAAAACAACTATTAATGATTACGAAAACAACTTCATCGTTTTGTTAAAATGACATCGTCTCAGAATTTAATTTGTGAGCCACTCAAGAGAACGTGATAAAAAGGAACGAATCAAAAACCACAAAAAGAGCCGTAGTCCCCCAGGAAGTCATCAATAGCGTTGCTATTGTTTCTTGTTTCTTCTCAAAGAAAAGTGTGCATATTGTTGAGTGAGGGGCAAAGCGGAAATTTTGTTCAAACATGTTTTAAAACCACCTTCGCTAAATCAGGACTGAAAGAAAAAACGCGTTTAGAACTAAGGCCAGGATTTCTTTATGAGCATTAATTTTAAAAGAATATAAGACCTCAACAAAAGTTTTCTTTCTTATGTGGTAACTCATTTCCAAGTCAATCTTAGTGAAAGTGCGTTTGCATAGAGTTTTTCCGCAATATTCAACACCTCAAGTCCACTGCACGATAACAGAACAGAGCTGAGTCGAATCAGCTCCGAATGGGAAACCCATTTAATCTGTGACTTCCCACACAACTAACAATCTCTCCTAAGTTCAGGACATAACGTTAGCCGCAAATGAGAACTCGCTGTGACGAAATAATTCAATCAAAACATTGACAATCATTACTAGCTTCCTACAATTCCCAGGGTCGGCCATTATCTTCCTATGCAAGCCGCGTGAAAATCCCTATGGATTATATGCTGGAATAGAGTTCTACAAAATAGTAGTTGTTACGAAGAATCGATTGGCTTCTAGTTTTCTTTCCTCAAACCGTTTACAATGAGTGTACAAAAATTAAGGCATACACGTATGCCGATCAAGGCTGAAGTGCCCAAAAATCTCGACGGTGATTGGTCAATTTGCAGCAAGCCTCACTTTGGAAGTGAATTCTTTACATGCTAGAGATAAGTATCCTTTCACCGCTGCTTTAAGATTTTTTTTTTTTTTTTAACATTGTTTACCAGAAAATCTCAAATATGCATCTAGACGCACATACGAGCGCGCATATATTTGAAAAACAGGTTTTATCAAAAGAGAATTTGTATTGAAACCGTTATTCATAGTTCATCTTGACATATCTGTATAAAAGGTTCTTATCCAGTTCAAGAAATATGATCCAAAGTTAAATTTTTCCGAAACTTTAAACAGAAAATCATGGGTAACAGATTCATATGCTTTTACAAAATCTATAGCAACCAAGGTTCCAGGGCTATTTGTCATTCCCAAACTATCCTCGGTGGTCTACACCGCATCAAACACAGATCTTCATCCCACAAATCCATTTTGATTGTAATGAGTACTTTCGACTATTTTCATTAACAAATATTTTCTTAATGCAGCTCTTTTCCTTTTTGTTTTTTTTTAGGTTAAAAAAAAAATTATTCCTCAGGAAGCCGTAGTCTTAGAAAATAGCCAAGTTTATCACGTTTTATTTTGGTAGTGCGCACAAACAATTAACAAAATAGATATTTCTTCGTCGGACCGGCAAGGTTTTCATGATATGAACTTTTTTAATTGGGCGGAAACTTGTGAAAGAAGGCGCGGTGAGAACAGGGCAAAATTAAACAAGAGCAAACAAGATATCTTTGGAATACCGGCTGTATTTATTTCTCAGTGACGCCGCACGTGGGTAAATTGTTGAATTTTGGGAGATTTATTTGCATAGAAGAGGAATCGGTATCTTTCCGTTTCCAACATTTCATTAGCATATGTGTAAGATTGCGATCTATTGAGGGCAGTGAAATCTCCAATGCTGTAAGATAACGTGGGTCTTTCCTCCGGAACTTACAAAACATGCTTCATTACGAAGAATATTTTTAGCCAAGAATAAAGGACTTTTAAAAGCATTTGGGAGCAAACTCGTGTTATTCGTCGCAAACTTGTCGGGGAGGGGGTAAACTTGCGATGTGGGAGCCTAGGAACTGGTCATCATCTTCCAAGGTAAACGGAAGGGCTCCTAGATGATCTTGCTAGTAATCTACTTACAGGTCTTCTACGCGTCTGTCCTCCAGTAGATCATAGGCAATAACCATTCAGAATGCGTGTATAATTCATCTTC